ATCGTATGCACTGGATCAATATGAACAAATATTGTATTTTAGGATTCCACACAAAGTCATTTCTATTATCTACAGTATATTTATACAGTTTATTATATATGTATTATATGCAGGTGGGTTATGGTAACAGCATTCAGATTAAAGCAGATGTCCTCCTCCTACCCACCACAAGCTGTTTCTGTGGAACCCTGAGGCCTTTTAAATCCATAATCACTCCAGCACCTTCTGTAACAAACATGCAAATATTCAGTGCTGGTCTCTCATCACTCTTTATTTGCTTTAAGAAATTTGGTCCAAATGGGCAACAAGTTCCAGTCTTTCTGAATATAGCATGGATATGAGTCACAATTAGATTAAATTGCTCATCTAGTAAGTAGTCTTGTCAACATTTTCCAGTAGTAATAACGCAGTTCATCTACAACTCACCAGCAACAATTAAATTAAGTGGGGGAACTTCAACAACACATTCTGTTAACTGCATGAGCTCATTCAGAAAGACAGGTGCCTCACATAGCTTGATGCTACCAATCCTGAAACACAGCATGAGCTCTCTTAGGAAGGTTTGGCTGCCTAAGCAAATTTTATCTATGATATTCTGAGCCAATAGTATCAAACTGTCAAGTGAGTGAAATCTGAAAATCCAACAAACATAATTCCAAGAAAGCCAAAAGTTTTATAAAACATAATAGAAACTTCAACTTGGTTTGTTGATTCTTGAACTTTTAGTTTCTAGACTCAAATAAAAAGGATTTTCAGTTTTCACCTAATTTTTTCTGTAAAATTTGAAGACGAAATCTAAAGTTTTAAATGAGCAACAGACTATAATAGAGTAGGGCCGAACAATTAATTGCATTTGCAATAATATCGCAATATGATAAAACAAGATTTTCTAATTGCGAAGGCTGCAATTTGACTGATCACGATTCTGGTTATGTGACTCGCAAGTGAGCAGAGCGGAGCAAAGCAAAGCAGGAAGCGAGAGAAGTCAACACTGCGCTTTAACTGGTTGCACAATGGCATCAAGCTCAACAGAAGCGGACTCATCTGAAAGTTTGGTACCAAAGAGGGGCAGCACGTCCATTGTTTAGAATTATTTTGACTATAACAAAGTAGACATTGCGCAATGACAAGTGTGCAGAACCTGCCTTGCTGCTGTTGCTACCTCTCCAGGTAAGACCACAAATCTTTATCAACACTTAAAAAACACCACAAAGCCATTTACGATAGTTGCATGGCTAGAATGCCAACGACCAGTGCTTTACTTTAAAGTACGCAAAGTACCAGCCGACAGGGATCACTGACCGAACTGTTTGAAGGTATTACTCCGTATGAACATAATTTGAAACAGCATGTGGAAACAACTCAAGCATTAATGGAATTCATAGCAAAAGACAAGATGCCCATTAATATAGTGACAAAGCCTGGGTTTACAGCTTTGGCAAACGCAATGGATAAGAGGTACAGAATGCCCTCACGCACAAATTTTAGCCAAGTTACTATCCCGGAGCTATACAAAAAAA